AAAAAATATTTTTTGTCTGATTCTTTGATTAATCGAAAAAATAATTGGCAGATTCATCGATTTTTAAAATAATCGTTAGTTGCAGCCCTACATACATTTCTTAATATTTGTAGATTCACTCCCAGAATGTTTGAGATACAAGAACTTAAAGATGTTAAAGATATTTTCTAATCAATATTTTAGATAAAAGAATGAAAATAGAAGATTATCATCATATTAGAAATACACAAACATACAATATGTAGTTTCCTTTCATCTTATTTAAATTACATACATTTGGACCGGGACGCTGCCAGGACTTTGGGGCCCCATGAAAAACATTGATAGTGGTTAACATGTGTCCTTATGATTCAATCAGAAAGGCTCAGTGATCTGCAGGATTTATCTCAAGTGATACGAATAGAATAGGTTCAGCATTCAGCAATCTAAACTTTTCAGTCAATCCCCGTTTCTTAACCAATCAGGGACTGGAAATGGTTGTGATGTAGGGCGAAGAGGTGCAGTGGAGACAGTTTTTCTCACCCAAGAACTTACTGGAGGGTGATCAGTCCTCCTGTGAGGGACAGCAGAGTCTAGTACTCTGTCTTGGACAGACAAAAGTACTACTGAAGGGAACCGTCATCCAGTTGCAGTTCCTAGAGCAGGTGGTGGCACTGGCCGAACTGGGAGCAGCTTTTGTGGATCCAGTGATGCTGACACTGTCGTTGGGCTCAGATCAGTTTAACAGATGGCAGGAACTAACACAGAAATGGATGCTCGTCCTATTTGATGGCGCTATAAAAGAAATAGAGCAACATCTGACCACATGTCTGTGGGAAATATTTGTGAGTGAACAATGAAACAATGTTTGTGTTCTTCGTGAACAAACCTCCACATTAAGGTATAAACATCATTAGTTGGTTGTGTTTGTTTCATAGAAATCTGTTGTAATAATTAATAGTCTGTGTCTATGCATAATGCTTATGTTGGTCCTTTTTCTCTTATAGTTAAAAACCCTCGATTTGATGAGCCGTGTGATGAAGGGAGCCAGGAGAGCAATTGCGAGAGCGACCCTAAATTAATTTCTCCTGGATACATCAAACCCTTGGTAGCAGGGACCGCCTGCAGCTTCTCAGAGACCAGGATCCAAAGCCTTGTTTCTACCAGCACTGCCTCAGACACCTCAGGGGGGGGCTGTTCAGTCCAGGACCAGCCCCTCTCCTTTGATCAGACACGGTTAGCGGTGGCTGCAGCCGCATTCAGAGGACCAACTCTGCATCACAATTCATCTCTAACTCCAAACCTCGCCTGGATGCTGCAGTCTGGCCTTCCAAACCTCAGTAACTCACAAACTGTTGCAATTCAAAGCTGGAAGCCAGAAAAAAACGAGGGGACAACAAAAGAGTTTTTAGTAGTCAAATCAGAACAAAATATTGTTCAGGACAAGTCAAACTTTGGAGCAGCATCTGACTTACAAACCACAAAGGAGAAGAGTGGACATATCCTGGGACTTGATTGTTACTCCTCCTCTGATGAGGAAACAAACACATCGTAGTTTTTGTCATTTTAAATGTATTGTTTCAAATATTTAAACTAAATTAAAGAAATATTTTTCATCATGATTGTCATATTTCTTAACCTGAACACTATACATATATATATATATATATTTATTTATATATTTATATATATATTTATATATATATT